AGCATATTATTTTATGTAATTGTAGCCACCCGTGTTTCACTTCATATCCAAATCATATCATGTAATTAATTGTACCAATCCACTTTATAAATCTTATCTAACTTTTCTTTCCAAATAACTAAATCCAAATTAAGACTGATTAAACTGCATTATCCCATCAAATCCAAATCATACAGTGTAATCGTACCACTACTCATCAATGGCATGTTCATGGTGATAAATTATATAATTCATTACTCATTAACGGTAATGTCTGTGCACTAATGGATTAATTATTTGCACTAGCATTGTACCAGAGGAGGAGAAAGCCATTTTTATTTTGTGCATTGAGGTTTATTTTAGCATAATTTCATGACTTGAATAACTAAAAATTGATATTAATACATAATACTATAATAATAATAATTATTATTTTCATTTTGTACATCTTTAAAACAGCTTTCTAATATAATGGATATAGTTTTTTTTTCGTAAAATAAAGAATAGAAAGGAAATTACATGTATATGAGACAATAGCATAAATCTATGATGTGAGGGGAAAAGAGTGTACTAAATTGAATGAAATATCTTTATGTACCAAATAAACAAACTGAAGGGTTCCTATTGGTGCTGTACATTGGACCAACATAGATCCCATCTCATGACCAAGACACTAATGGGTGGTGGTTCCATTTATTTGTATCTATATGACTATGCAATAATTTATGTGCAGTACTGCCTCATCACTTTAAGCTCAATAACTTTTCACATGTGTCATGGCTTCAATTTTATTGTTCTGGAATAATAATTTTAATTTAATCAATAATTTATAATTTAAATAAATTTATTATTATTTTAAATAAAAATCTTATATTTAAAAAACAAATAAAACTTTATTAATTAGAGTAATAATAGAGTCTAAATTATATTTATAATTTTTAGTTTATTTAAAAACAAAATTTATTAAATTATAAACTCAATATATAATAGACTAAACCCTCATTTTGGTACTTGAAATACTAAGCATTAGATATTTTAGTCTTTGACATTTTAAAAATGTTAAGTTAGTTCCTAATTTTCATCTTTATTAAATATTTAAGTCCCTAGACTCATACACTATTGTAAACAGTAACAAAATTTTCACATATCACGCTAAGTGACATATGTGATTAATTACGTGGTAAAAACAACGTCATATGTAGTATGATATATGTTTTCGTTTCATTTTAATTTTTGAGATTATCACTCGTCAGACATTTTAGTCCTTTACTCTTAAAACCTTTCAGCTATAAATACATTTGTAGCTTTGACTTTGGAGATTGATTCTAGTTCCAATCTAAAATGATATTGTTAATGTTCTTATTTTTTCATTTTGTTCCCATAGCCTAAGTATGTTTGGCTATAATGTATGTGTCCTGCAGTTATTAGGGATTCAATTTAAAGAAAGTATTGAGAATATGAGAGAGTAACTAAGAGTAAGAAAGAGAAAAGGAGAAGGAGGCTGAGAATGATTATAGTAAGAAAGGTCGTCTCGTTTACAGGAGAATAAAGAAGAAGAAAGATGAATAGTTAAAAGGTTTTAAGAGTAAGGGACTAAAATTTTAGTCACTAACAATATCAAGAACTAAAATGACCGACAGGTAATAATTTCAATGACTAAAATAAAATAAAAATATGTCATACCATATACGACTTTATTTTTTTATTACGTAATCAATTACACGTGTCACTTAACATGACACGTGAGCATCCTGTTACTGTTTATTAACAGTATTTAGGACCATGTATTTAAATGCTTGATGAAGATGAAAGTTAGACTAACGTGATATTTTTTAAATTTTAAGAACTAAATTGTTTGATGGTTATTATTTCATAGACTAAAATGAGAGTTTAGTTTATATAATAAATGTAAAAATACTTGTTCAAAATATTAAATATTTTAAATTTTTTTAAAAATATAAATACCTTTAGTGTGAAAATTTTATTTTATGGTAGTCTCGTCCAATCAAAACGTAACATGTATGTACTTTTATAAAAAAAAATTGAGCATGTGGTAAAATATAAGTGGTCAAGACCCCGTAGTGTCAAACCACCTAAAAATTTCTCGTAAGAATGAAGTGAATAATTTCAATAAAGTTAAACAATATGCCATTTCAAAGAAAATCATTTGGCCACTAAAAAATACATTTGTTATTATTTGCTTTAATTTATGTAAGGAAAATATAATATGATGTTTTTCTATAAAATTTTAGTAATATTTTTTATAAAAGATAGCAAAAATTTGATTTAAATATGTTTAATTTTTTTTTTTTATAGATTCAAGTTAATCCATGGCAAAAAAAATAGTAAGATTTATGAAAGTTTCCTTTAAATTTACTTTAGAAAGTGTAGCACTACTCTAATATGAATCTTCTCTTGTGTGATGAGAAGATTCGAGTGAGATGGTGATTCTTACAAGAAAACACACACTCAAGTTAAAAGAAATTTAAGACAGATTTTTTTGTATAAAGCAAGGATCATGAAACGTATATAAAAGTTAGAGTTCTTTTCTTATACAGGCATTTATGTTACCCTCTACTTAAGATTTTCATTATTGCCTTAACATGAGTCATTAAGCAAAGTATTTAGCTTGGCATACTACCTTCCATTTAAGACATTTTACTTTAAAGGATGGAAGTTATATCTTCATGTTTTTTAAAATTAAGCTCTCGCCAACATCAAGTCATAATTCATAAATTAACTTCTTTATCCTCACTATCCCTCTGTCAATCTACCATAGCTTTAATTTACCTGTCATCTTGCAAGGTCAGACAATAGTCTATTAGTACTGTTATTTTATATAAGAAGTGCCCAAATCTAATTAAGTGGCCTTTTAATTTTAAATATATATTTGAAAAAACTATATAATTTATGAAAATAATTTGATGACCCAATTCACAAATATCAAGGGACCCCAAAAATAAAAAGGTAAAGTGCATATTTAGTTTTAACTCATTTTAAAATAAATAGTTACTCATATTTTTTAACTTGAAAAAACTTTTGATATATAAACAATTATTTTTTTTACCAAAAGTTTTCTGAAACATGCACTAATACCATTCAATAGCCAAAGGGTTTTTCTATTTGAAGATGTGTCTTAAAGTTCACATTCAGTACTTGTGCATCAGTGTAGGTAGGTTTCAGGCAACTTTGGATCTTTCACATCCTTGACAACAGATACCCAAGCAATACCAAATTGCTCTTACCCTGCCTCAACCTTAAGGTCGTGGATGCTCATTTTGGCCAATTCCTAGTTTAGCACAAAAAATGTAAATTATTTAGGGAAACATTAACTAGTACCTTTAAAAAAATGAAATAAAATAACATAAATATTTTGTTAGAAAACGTAAGAATGCATTCTTTTACATAAATTTTAAGGTATTTTAATATGTTTTTTTTTAATATCCTTATGAGCAGTGATGAAAACTATCCTTACTTGATGGTTAGGCCAAACCAACTACAATTAGGCCTTTGATTAGTTATTTTCTGAAAGCAAAAAAATTGGGAGGCCCAGTCTTTATTCAAACATTTTCAATTAATGTGTGACCCTATGGTCTGAATATTAAATGATCATTCACCCTCTCGTGTGTCGACAATTGGAAGGACACACATATGTGCATGCCCTATCAATATTGGAGAAAAGAATTACAGCTTAAACTTTGTTTAGTATATATGTTTGACAATTTACATTATGTTCTTTTTTTTCTTTCCCCAAAACACACAGATGCACTATAAGGAGTAGCAAAGGAAGTTATTCCCCTTCCATCCCATCAAAAGCTTGCAAAACAAAGAGCTGACTTGCCCTATTCTATTTTGTTTAAGAGTAAGTTACATATTCTAATTCAATCCGTTCAAGGATGGATCAGTGGGCTAGCAACCTAGTTCACTTAAAATTTATATTAAAAAATTAATAAAATTTTTAAAATTTATCAAAAATTGTTGAATTATATTTTTATTTTAATAAAAATTAATAAATAATTATTTTTTAATTAAAAAAGTGGTCTCATACAACAAAATAAGTTGGTGGGCATAGAACCTCCTATTTGACCCATTATTTTTTGTGTTATACAGGCTAATTTATTAGGTTATGCTTATTTTGTTATCTCTACATATGATTTTGTGTAATTCATGTAGTTGATCTTACTTAGTAGGATAAGACTTAATTGTTATTGATCAATAATTTTTATATTTTTATATTTTATTTTAATATGAACTAATTTTTAAATAATATAAAAAAATTAAAAATACCTTATATTATGAAAAGTAATATTATATTATAATTTTTATATTAAACCTTATTATTATTTTGTGCATATAAATTTTATGGAGGATTTTTTTTTTTCACTTTTTTCCCCACCTCTTTCATCCTTCTAAATAACATTTTCCCCTCAAATAATATTTCAATTTTCACCATACTGTTTTCCCTGTTTTTTTTTCTTCTCAATTTATTCCTCATTTAAATAAACCATTAAAATATTATACATCAAGAGGTTAAAATAAACGAGGATGGACATTAAAGTTAACTTTTTCATTTTTAAGTTTAAGTTAGTGCTTAATTCAACTCTATAAGCTGACACATAAAAATGAGAATTATTTTATTCTATATAAATACTTATTTGATTAGTCAATGTGAAATTTTATCACACCTTATACTCAAAATTTGACGTCTAAAATATGAAATACTGCAAGAATAAAATTTATTTGTTAATATAAGTTTTATTTTCATTTTCTTTTTTAAAACAGTTTTTAAAATTATTTTAAAATATAATTTCTAAAAATAAAAAAACAAAAACAGAAACAATCAAGCCCTAAGCTGTGCTGAAAAATTTTGGGATGGATATTAGAAGAATTATGCAATCATTTAAATATGGCACCTTTGAAGGCCTTTCAAATTTCAGAACTACAAAGAATATGAACTCTTAGGCCGACTCTGACCTCGCTGTGGGCTTCGATCAGCCATAACATTATAGGTCCCGAAAAGGAAAAGAAAATAGCAGGCATCCAAATAAAATAAAATGAAATGGAAATAATTTACTGCTGCGAGCCTTTGTATCAAATAGGAGTTGGTAAATAGGAAGAAATAAAAATAAACATAAGGCCCTACAAGGAGTAAGGATAATACTGGGAAGGTTTGGGTAATAGGAGAAAAGGCATACTTAAAATATAAAAAAATTGAAATTGAAATTCAACATAATTCCTTAAAAAGACCCAACTAGAAAAATTGAAAAGGGGGTAAATTCTACGAGTGCAAGGGATTTTCATTAGTTGAAATATAAACTATTAACCATAATAAGGTTGAGGGCCAGGAGATGAACCATGAGGAAATGGTCTGGCTTGCATATGAGGTGAAGAACCAGGAACTGGAGGTGAAGCACCACTGGACTGTAAATTTACATTCAGTGGAACACCAGGCTGAGTGATTCCCATGAAACTTTCATTATGAACAATCGGATTGCTTGGAGCAAGAGGTGAGGTGGCGGTGGCAGGTGTTGCTGCCGGGGCATAGCCGGGAATTGGAGGAAGTGCATAAGTTTGATCAGGAAAAGTACCAGCCACGGATCCGTAGTTCGGCCTAACCTCCTGCTGTGTTGGATTCCATGGCGGTATTTGTCCTCCAGGTACTTGAGCTTGTGAAGCAGGGGCACTACCTGGGTACATAGGAGCCGCTTGAGGATTCTGCCAAGCTGTTGCCGAAGCATGTGCTGCAAGCAGACTAGGATCCAGCACTGTATAGTCTCTACTTTTGTCACTAAAAGCCTAAAACCAGAACAATTACATACACATGAAACAAAAATCAGTTTCAGCGATTTCAAACATTTAAAAAATACCATAAAGGTCAATCAAGTGTAGAGAAGCATACACTCCAGAACCATTTCTGATCAAGGAAATGTCCACATTGCTTCTAAGAATATCTTTAATCCCCCCCTTTCTCATATTCTCCCCTCATGAACATTAACTCAAACACATTTTTTTTATACCTTTACATTGAGATCAGTATGACGAGAGTATGTTAGATGAAGCTTACAATAGCCACCATCATATATGCAATGCCCCTCCAGAGTTTCTTTGGCAGCTGTTGCTGTTGTGACATCTGAAAGAGAAATTGAAAAACAAAAAATTTACACGTGATGAATAGACAGCCATAAAAACTGATTTGTCAAGCAAAAAATGCAGGATTATCATAGAAAATCAAACTGAAAAAATCACTATATTGCATGTTAAAACAAGGTCTCTGCCATGACTCATGATGCATTGAAGTTAAAACATTCTGCATTAGCAAGAGGTTTAGTTTAGGTTTAAACATATGATAATTAACATGGTAAAATAAAAAAATTCAAAACAGTAATCTGTAGAATTTTAGAAAAGCTACGAGAATTAGCGTTACTCATCATCCAGGGGTGAGAATTAGCCAAGCGTAGACTGAACTCAATTTGAACATCTTTTTATCAAATTGAAGCACAAGCTGGATTTGAATTATAATTTGTAACATTTAACTTTTATAATTTTCAATTCATAAATGGTATTAAAATTTTTATTTACATTTTTATTGCTATATTTTTATAATATAATAAACATTTTATATAATTAGTTGGTTTTGAGTTAAGCCTATCTAGTTCGGTCAATAGGTGTTCATGTGTGCGTGTGTTGACCGTTGAAAACGCCAACTGAAGGGAACCTAATCTACAAGATTATACATGATGGTCTAGAGTAAAAGTAAAACTGATAGCAGAAGAAAAAATTATTAGAGAAAAAAATTACAATCTAGGATTTATCAGCTTAATATTTAATAAAAAATAGAATACACCAAGCCAAAGAAGTTAAAAGAAAAACACAATAAAGGTGTCCAATCTTTCAAAAAGCAGTTCCTCTAAAACAACCATGGGCAGACTTTCCCTCAGATGAAAATTTGTATTTTCCATCCTTAAACAAGAATCATCATCCACATTCAACATTGGATCAGAAGGGAAATAATCTTCATATTCCATGAATTTGAAGCACATATGAACTACCATTGGTAATATAAAAGCTACTAAGAAAAGGTAGAAAATAAGGATATACTTTTGAAATACATAGTAAAAATAAAGCTACAAACTCCAGAGCATCAAAATACCAGGGTACTGAATTAGGGCCTGAGTTTGACCATTCTTTTCAAATATGGCAATTTTTTGCACTGTACCAAACGCAGAGAACACCTGTAACAGGTATGCCAGCAGCATTGAGTATAAATTTAAATTGTCCAGAAATTTGCAATTTTAATGAGATTGAGCAATACAAACTCTCACCGTGTGAAGAACATCCACAGTAACAGCATACTGCATATTTTCAATTGAAGCCAAAAGCACGTTGCTCTCTGGTTCTTTCTTCTTTCCGTCAGGACCTATTACAGGCTGAACATAAATTGTTAACATATACTAAAATCATGCAAAACATAAATTACTAGAGGAAAAAGAAAACAAAATACCTGTAATGCAGTATCAATAGCAGTCTGATTAACTGGAAGCATAGGATTTGTGTAGTCCCTAAAAGGTCATAAAAACACAAATATAACCAAGCACTAACACAGGACAGTATCTAGAGAACATTTATAAAATGGAAAATTCAATGTGCACAGTCAAATAATGTCATGCAACAATTAAAGTCTAAAAAGAACTTAGTGTTTGAAATGCATATCTATTCTTTTAGAGCTTAGGGACCAAAATGGATGATAAGCAAGATCACAAAAAGTTATTAGAACACCTGTTAATTTTAATTTTGAAAAGTAAAGATAGAAGATCATTGGAAAACATACTTATTCTTACAATTATGGTTCACTAACAAAGATTTGTATAGGAAACAGAGAAAATAGAAAAAAATTGTGTTATCAGCCTTTGTGCATGACCTAGGTCCAGACGTGGCAGAATCCTTCTTCCAATCTATAGTTAATATAATATTTAGGAAAATAAACTTGTCCTTGACAAAGTGTCTTTTGAAGTAACTATTTCTGAGTATAATTACTTGTCCTTTATTGAATACCATCAGTCCCTTCTAAAGATTGTTAATACAAAGAAAATAAATCTGAATGATATAACTAGTAAGAGAAAACATATCCTAAATAACAATAATAATACAATCTTATCTAATAAAAGGAAAAAAATCCCAAATCAATTATTTAGATTTTACAAATAAAATTCTAATTATGTAATATCTATTGCTGTTATGCATCTACTGTTGCTGAGTCACAAATGTGCCTACATCAAGTTGTTTTCATTGATTCCGTTATAGGCCTTTGAAAACAAGAAACAAAATAAAAACAAGGTAATAATTTTGTAATTAAAAATTTAAAAAGCAAAAAATATTTTCTAAAACCATACAGTCCCTCAGTGGTAATTGTAGCAACTACATTTTACGTACCAAGCTTCACTAACCCCTAGATGACAAAAAGCTTGTATATCAATTATTCTCTCTAATCCTATTTATAACACGTTTTTTAAAATTTTTGTTGGTCCTTAATATAAGACCATTTTCAAAGTTTTAATATATATATTTTCCCTTTATAGATTTTAAATTTTCTAATTTTTCAACATTTAATATGATAATAGAGTTTGACTTTAAATAGAGATAAACTTATAATGTAATTAATTTTTCAAAAACCAATACATTAACACTTACGGCAATTTTTCTTAATTTGTGTAATTTTGTTAAAATTGTCTTACAAATAGGACCAGAGTAAGTAGTAGAGAAGAGACCACCATGATGCATTACACACAAGGGCCTTCATAAATGTTTTCAACAGCTTACAATAGAGGAATGATATATGATAGTTGTCTTTCATCCTCATCACTACCTGCTACGATTAGACTGGAATTTAATATTAAGATCTTTATGCGCTGAGTACGAAATACGCAAGTGACAAGAACCAACATGCTCGGGGAGCAAGTATCTGGATACAAGAGCATAAGCAAATCAGCAAATTTAATGTTTATCAAGTAATCACCACAGTTAATGATGAGTGTGAAGAAGAAAGGAGGAAATGTAAAAAGCATTGCTTGCCTGGGTATGCTTCTTCCATCCAGTGCATTCCTAGCTGAAGAAGCAGTCTCAGCATCTGTGAACTGAATCAGAGCCTGCCAAGAAATAACCGAGTGAATACTAACAGTGACATGTTGAAGGAAGCACAATTCACTAATTCACTAACCTGGAAACCAGCAGTCTTTTCAAATGTAGCAATTTTGTGTACAAAGCCAAATGCAGAAAACACCTGAATAAAGAATAAAAAACACATGTAACCCAAATTAACAAATATGCATTTAAAAGAAAAAGAAGAAGAAAACGTAGTACAACACACATTTTACCCAAACAAGGAGTGTGCCACCTCACACAAGAATTAAAATAGACAAGACAAACAAGTAGCGCTTACCAAGTGGATAACATCAATGCTCACATCTCCAGCCTCCACACCTTCAATGGTTACCAGTAGGACATTTCCAGGGACATCTCCTGGGCCTTTGTTGTTGACAATTTCATGTCTATTAGAATATTGAATGTAAACAGTTTTGCCACGAATCTGAGCAGGCTCAGAAGATGAAGCATAATATGAGACCATTGAAATGGCTTGATTTAGATCCACCTGGTAAAGCATTTAAACTTAAGAGCTGAGAACCTTGAGTTGGAAAATCACTAAAAGACCAGGTTCAGATGTCATTAAATATGAGAAGATATGAAGCAGCCCATAAATATAGTTTACATTTTGGGTCATTTATTATAATAATAATTACTCATCAGCATACCTCTTGTTTGTTATCATCCAGAGTTTATGATTAAGGAAAACAAAGACTAAAAGAACATACTGGAAAGCCAATCACAGAAACAAATAATTTATGGTCTACATATTTCCTATCAAACTTTGAATAAGAGAACACAATTTTACAATTCCTTTTTAACCAGAACACGATTTGCATTCACTTATCCACAATAACTAATGTTGAAAATGAATACCTTTTAATAAACCTTTTGACTTTTACAAGATAGTATTATAAGTCTTTTGCCTGACATTTTTGCTCCCTCTATTAGGGATAATGTTAATATGTGAGTTTTTGGTCCCCCTATAGTCTTTTACTTCAATCAAATCCCAAAACTTTTCTAATTGAGAAAAATCTGGTCCCTCCATCATTTTGGTGTCAAATTACTAACAACAACAAGTTATGTGACCAATAATTTACATACTAACATGACACATTACTGAGTTAAACATTAATGGTCTCACTAATGACTTCAATTTATTTAAATCCATCATTTTATTATTCTTTTACCAGAGACCACAATTACACACAGTTTAGGCTTTTTTAGTTGTGGTGGATGTTATATTGTAGCAGTTACGTTGCAACTGTTGTGGACCAATTGCTTCTGATATTATACACAATTAAAGTCTAATGCAGTTGCAGCAGTCACCACAATTCAGATGTTAGGAGGATTTAAAATTGCTTTTTATTGACATGGTTCCCATTTTAAAAACTTTGATCCATAGTTACCTAATTAGTAGTTCTCTTTGGTATGGGTATGGGTACCGTGGTGTGGGATATGCTCCTATGTAAAATATATGGTACAAGAGGAGTATACCTAGTTGGTATGCTTTGTGCTGAACCAGTCGAACTTACCTCAGCCCACTTCAAACCAACACATAAATTAAAACCCGAACCTAATTGGGCTTAACCCAAACTAATTAAGTAGAGTTGATCTTGCCAGGGTGAGGCCATTAAACTGGTGTGAGAAATAGTCACACAAGGCTAAGCAGTGGAGCAACACAGAACATCAGTCCATTCCATGATTGTAGATTGTAGTCACACGAGGTGCACCCCTTTCTTACTGACAGAGTGTTGCATTACTATGTTGAGAGCATTTCTTGAGGCAACAACAAGCTGAAATATTGAGACCCTTGAGGTAAGGAAGCTCAAGCACATGCAGAGAATCCAACCCAAAAGATTAGTCAATTAGGTGGGAGAACTTCAAGGCTTAAGTACCACATTGAGCATCTTATTTTACTCAATGCGAGACCTAACATTGCCACCTCTTTTAAGAGTCAACATCCACGGAGACTTTCACTCTATCGACATTGACCCAATGGTAGCCCTTTCCCCTCTGGCAGCTCCACTCACCTATCAGTATTCCACACATTGTGCCTTAATCCAGCCTATAGATAGCCCTTTCCGTAACCCAACTCTCAATAAAAGCACCAATGTAATGGTTGTCAACAACCACTACTGAGATATAATTTCAAAGAAGAAAGAATACATAGAAGAGGAAGAGAGAAAGTACGTAGAGAGAAGTCTAAATTTCACTTAATTCTTCACCCTCAATTCCCACACCTTTTTTTATCTATTATCCTATCTCTTGGACCTCCATGCTGCACACTACCATTTTGTTGCAACTAAATGTGCCACCTCAGAATAAAGGTTAATAGTAGAAGCTTCCCCATTTTTCTTCCCAAATGTCAGTTGGTACGTTCCAAATCCCGAATGGCAACAAATTGGTAAGAAAAAAGAACCGCCAAATCAGTGCACACGCCCCAGTTCGCAATTCAACGAGGAGGTGAGTGGATTTGGTAACAATGCCTTGATCATATGTATATGAACTGAAAGTACAATTAAGCTAATCATTTTAACATACATGTCATGCTCTCCCATGCCGCAAGATATAGCAGTATCTTGAGTTTTGTTTTTTCGTTAATCTTAGTCTTTGGGAGTGAACTCAGTTTTTTATAATATAATAAATTACACATTTCAAAATATAAAGAGTCTGTTTGGATGAATTTATGAGAATAATATGACTCATGTAAGCTTTTTTAAACTTATTTCAATAAATTTCTTTATAAAACTTATCAAAATAAGCTGTTTGTAGCTAAACTGATGACATTAGTCCTCGTTCAAAAAGAACTTATTCAATAAATGCTTAATTAAGTTGTATATCCAAACACATCAAGAGCCGAATAGCTTCTACGCTTCTATCGAGTTCAATCTCACTCAAATTATCGACCACAAGGTTAAAATACCCTAACTTATTTCCAATGCGAAGAAGATAAATTTTGCAAATAATAAAAATGGGAAATGGCGAAAGAGAAAGAGAGAAGGAGTTTACAAATTCAACAAAAGCTTGGTTCCGATTGGCGCCAACGTTGCACTTGGTGTTGACGACCTTGCCGAAGGGGCTACAAAGGTCTACGAGCTCGTCATCGGTGCATTCCCAGGGAAGGTTCCGGAAGTGCAGCACCTTCGACGGTGTTTGAGTGTACCGAAACTGCTGCTGGTTTGAGGTAGACATTCTTCACCGATTCAAATCGAATGAGGCTGGGACTGGAGTGTTTGGCCGTCGAGAAAATGTGCCGCGATTTTCTCAGAAAAGATTGAGTGCGATTCGAAAATGTTTCTGACGAGTATTACTGCATCTTACAGTATCTTTTTTCTTTATAATTTCCCAGTTAAGTAAATATAAATAGAAAATTGCAGATATTTATTATCTTATAAATATTTTTTATAAAATAATATTAACGAGATAGTTAATTATCATTTATATAAATAAATGTTTAGTAATATAAGCCATAAATTTAAATATTTAATACTTTATGTATTTAGTAATTATAATATAAATTTATAAATATAAATTTTATTGATTTAAAAATTAATTGTTTAATTTTTATAAACTATTAAAAAAATCAAATTTTCTTATATCTTTTGTATATAAATTATTTTAATTATTAAATAAAAATTATTAATTTTTTTATATTTTTAAAATAATAAATATTTAAAATTTTAATTATATAATTTTATATTCTTTAATTTTATTTTAAAAAATATAGAATTAAAACTTATTTGATGAATATAACACAGAAATAATAGCATATGCAATTTTTATAAAGATAAAATAAAAAATAAATAACAAAATTCTTTTTCTAAATATTTAATACTGATAACTATTGAAATTTGAACTCCAAATTATATATTAGAATAAATTAATTCCTTAATTCACGTGTTTATTAATAAATAAAGTTTATTTAATTTTGTTATAATTAATTTTTTTCTTTAAAAATATGATTAAAATAATAATAAGTATCCCGTCCCTCGAGACATGAGTTTATTAGTGTGGTGTCTAAAAAAGAATACCAAAAGTGGAAGATATATAGCTGGAGGTATATTTTTATCATGAGTAAAATAAATTTTCAAAAAATATTTTTAAAATTATACTTTTAAAAAAATATTTTTAGTTTAAATTTGTTCACATATAATTTTTATAAAAAAAATATTAAAACTCTATATTTAAATAACTTTTATATAAAATATTAAAAGTAATATAAAATATGAGTAATTTTTTTTAAAAAAAAATTATTCTCCTCAAGTGAAGATTTGAACTATAAAATATAATATGATACATATACTTTTATTTAGACCACTAAATGAACTTTAAGTGTCCTAAGGGTACTGATTAATAAATTGAAAGTAATTTTTTTAAAAAAACATTCTTGGCTTTTATCATGAAAGTTTAGAGGGATTGAAAATTGAAATTTTTTCTTAAATATAAAAGTTATTTTCATATTTAAGTTTGTAAAAATGTTTAATGATTAAGAATTTATATTCATAAATTTTATATAATAATTGATGTATAAAATTGTATTAATTAAAAGAAATTCCCCTAGTAAGTGAAATTTTTTAAAATCTTTTTAATTGAGTATTATTATGTTCCATTAATTCTTATATATTTAATATTTATTTTAAAATTATTTTTTTCTTAATTTTATAAATCTTATCTATTTAGCTTTGTCTTATTTAATAAAGCAAAACGACAATTATTATATCAAAAGTATTGATTCTTTTAAAATTTATTAAATTTAAAATGCATGTAATATAATAATTTATTTTTTTATTTTATTTTAATAATTTGAAAATAGTGCACAAAATGTTCATTAATTTAAAGTCATAATATAGATAATTTATTGATTACAATTTATTTAAAATTAAAATAAAAAGAACACTTTTATTAATTATTTAAATGTAACTTTTTATAAAAAAAAATAATTATTCATAAAAAAATAAAATATAAGTTAAAATTAAGAGTTAAATTTTTATATTTATACAACTTAATAACTTTTTATAACATACAAAATTGATGAATTAAGTTATTGAATTATCTTATTAATAATATATATTAATTTTTATGTAATTAAAATATTTAATATTTATTTATATTATAAAAACATATTATTTATTAAAGTAAAATTAGGCAAAAAAATATTTAATAATTTATTTTTTATAAAATTTTATAAATGATATATTTAATAAAAAAATTTAAGCTAATAGCTGAATGAGTTAATATTGTATTTTATAAAAAATATTAAGTGATGTATATAAATAAATGAAAATAATAATTAAAAAGATAAGTTTTTAAAATTTATTAAAAATTAACTACAGTTATCCTGTGTCCCTGACAAAGAGATAGATATATAAATACAAAGACAAATAAATTGATGTAGGATATAGATATGATATAAGCATGATATTAAGAATTTGAGATACCATTATGTAAGAGATAAAAGGCATAAGATTGTGTGGGGTTAGTATATTAAAACACAAGCAACCCTAAGGTAACTGCAACTCTCGACCTTCCTTTTTCTCCTCAAACACGACTTTCATTTCAACCCATCACGTAAGCATCGCTTCTTCTCTCCCCAGATCTCAATTTCCCTTTTTTCTTTTAATTTTTTTAATGTCATTCTATAAATGGTTTTTAATTATTCATCAAATTTAAATCCTCTAATTTGATTGCCCCTTGATCTGGGAATTTCTTAAAACGACAACGTTTTCGCTTAATTTCTATCTGTAGTTCATACTCATTCGATGGATCTGAATTTTCTGTTCCATGTGTTGTGACATTTTGTTAGCATATCCTGCAAAACTAGTTAATTAGGTTCATACTCAATTTTTTTTTTGTTTAATGTATAATTTGACCTCAAATTAAGTTGTTTTAGCATGGTTATTTGGTTAATTATTGGATTTAATCTATTGTTATTTTTTTTTTTAATTCTTGGTTTGCGATTTATGCAGATTTTCTTGTTTTTTCTTGTAAAAGCTCTAAATTTGATTTAGAAGCTGATATCAAGCATTTGCTGTGATGGCTGGTCAAAGGAGTGGTTATGGTAAGCGCCCCCACCCTCAATCTGACTATGATAATGGAGCAAATAAAAGGAGAAATCACGGTGATGAAAGAGAGCAGTTTGTGATTGATCCAGAAGACACCGTATATCGTTATCTGTGCCCTGGCCGAAAGATTGGCAGTGTTATTGGTAGGGGTGGCGAGATTGTTAAGCAACTGAGGGTAGAAACTAAGTCTAAGATTAGAATTGGTGAAACTGTGCCGGGTTGTGAGGAACGTGTTATTACTATTTACAGCCCCAGTGATGAGACTAATGCTGTTGAGGATGGTGGCAATTACGTGTCGCCTGCACAGGATGCTCTGTTTAAGGTGCATGACAGAGTGGTTGCTGAAGACTTGCATGGTGATCAGGATGATGATGGAGGTCACCAAGTGACTGCTAAGCTGCTAGTACCGTCTGATCAGATAGGTTGTGTTATTGGAAAAGGTGGGCAGATAGTTCAGAACATACGTAGTGAAACTGGGGCCCAGATTCGTATTCTCAAGGATGAACATTTACCTGCATGTGCCTTGAGCTCTGATGAACTTGTGCAGGTAAATTGGATGGGATTTTGTTATAATTACGTTAAATTTTGTGACATTTTCAGTTGTTTTTTATTTGTTTATTAATGTAACTATCAGTGTAGTAAAGGAATTGCTATCTGGTTGGCTTGAATTTTTCCAAATATTGTAAATGCAGTAGTTTTACTTGTACTTCACCAATTGGTACCTGAATTTTATTTCTTCTGTGAATTTTTGGATACTGTTGGGTCTGAGTGGAAACTACTCACATATGTATTTTCTTATAATGTGCTTTCTATTGGTTTTGAAACTCCAGATTTCTGGGGATGCTGGAGTTGTGAAGAAGGCTCTGTATCAAATTGCATCACGACTTCATGATAACCCTTCACGATCTCAGCATCTTCTTACTTCTGCTGTTCCTGGTGTGTATCCTGCCGGGGGTTCACTCATTGGTCCAACTGCAGGAGCTCCAATTGTGGGGATAGCTCCCCTTGTTGGTGCTTATGGGGGATATAAAGGTGATGCTGGTGACTGGCCCCGATCCATGTACTCAGCTCCAAGGGATGAGGCATCTTCAAAGGAATTTTCAGTTCGATTGGTTTGTCCAACAGGAAACATTGGAGGTGTGATAGGAAAAGGTGGTGTTATAATAAATCAAATTAGGCAGGATTCTGGGGCAACAATCAAAGTTGATAGTTCAGCAGCAGAAGGAGATGAATGCTTAATAAACATTTCGACAAAAGAGGTGAATTTTTTATCACACAGTGGGCCATTTTTTCTTTCGTACTATAGATTTAATTTTATGGCATGATTTGTACTGTATCTTTGATTATGTTTGTAATCATTTCAAAAAAAGAGGAGGAATATTGATCACTCCGTGGGCCATTTTCCTGTTTGTCCTATAAATGTATTGTGGTATGATTTGTGCTGCAGTTTGTGATATTTATTACATTGTGCTAATACAGTTTTTCGAAGACACTTTCTCTCCAACAATAGAAGCAGCTGTCCGTTTGCAACCTCGATGCAGTGAAAAGGTTGAAAGAGATTCTGGAATCATCTCTTTCACTACCCGTCTGCTGGTATCAACCTCACGAATTGGTTGCCTTATTGGTAAAGGGGGATCTATCATAACTGAGATGAGGAGGCTTACAAAAGCTAACATTCGCATTATTTCAAAGGAAAATCTTCCTAAAATTGCATCTGATGATGATGAAATGGTGCAGGTAAGGGTAATTTTGTGCTTTTGTCAGGTAATGTTGTCTCTGATAAAATGTCCTAACATTCTGTTGTACAACATTGGCTCCCCTCCTTCCCAAACCCCTTCCTGAGTAGATTTCAGGAGACCTCGATATTGCCAAGGATGCTCTTGTGCATGTACTTACACGGTTGAGAGCAAATCTTTTTGATAGGGAGGGTGCTCTCTCTGCATTCCTTCCAGTTCTGCCATATCTTCCTGTTTCAGCAGATGGATCAGATGGTCTAAACTATGATAGTAGAGATGGTAAAAGACATGGACGAGGACATTCGTATTCAAGTGGGTATGGAGGCTCCAGTGATTTAGCAGCTGGTGACATTTATGGAAGCTATGGTGGTTCACAGGTACTTCTATCTAATCACACAAGAACTTGAGTTTAGGAGTATATTTACATGCAGCTGAGTTCTTCAAGTTCTTAAACAGTTATTTCTTGTTCCTTGTTTGTAATATTTTTTCATACATCTCTAGCTTGGAAGCAGCGGTGCTTATGGGGCTTATGGAAGTTATTCTTTGGGACGGTCTAGTACTGCTGGGTAATTAATCTTTCCTGATGTCTAACTTTTTGCTTTACCCTTTTCTTTTATTTTTCTTGTGTAATTTTCATCTTAGACAAATATAAGTTATCTGCTTTGAAGATGAAGCTAACATAACTGCTCTGTAGTTGGATCTTTGATTTCTTCTCTGATCCGTGAGTATTAAATTGAGATTTGAATAGTGAATCGGAAGGCTTATATTCCGAATCATAAATCAAACTTACTGAGCATAAGATTCATGATCAATAACTATAAATACCTTGAAAAGTATTTTAGCATATATAGTCATTAAAAATAATTATATAATGGCAATTTAGAGTCAAGTAGCTAACTGTAAAGCTGACAAATTGAAATATAAACTTAAATAGACATTTTTTAATATGAAAAGTAGATCAATGTTTGACTTGTATCAGTCACTATAACAAAAAAGTTAACAGTTCAAATTCAGTTGTGTAGCTCCTTAGAAGTTTAAAAAAAAAAATTCAAATTAATTGTTCAATTTATTTATTTATTTTTTATTAAAAACTTTCAAGTATCATCCTCATCGTAATCAATTTCAGGCCTAAGTGTAATTATGAATTAATTGGGCTGGTCCAATCAATTCAAATCATTTAGCCCATTATGCAGCTCATAAGCAAGCATACCGGTTTCACAAAAAAAAAAAGAAGCAGAGCAAACATACCAGTTTGTATTATTTTTCTTCATGTGGTGCTTGCTGTGCTCAGGCTTTGGGCCTCTATTGGTCTTTTGTTTTAGTTGGACTTTGTCCTTTGGGTCTTCAAATACTGTGCTGTTTTTGACCCAAATGAAAAAAAAAAAAAATCCTAAATGACAACTACCCATTTCAATTTATCTTCAAGCTCAGCTTTAGCACTGTATCTCTGTCAGTCTGTCTCACTCACCAAATCCAGTTCAATTCCAAGTTTCCAACCTTGGTCGCTTGAAAAGATTTTGCCACTTTCCCTTAGGCCTCTTAAAAATTAAATCCAAAGACAGACCCTAAAATTATGTTTGCCAGAACCAGGTCGCATGCTACCTGACCCAGTTTCATGTATGACCTGATGGTGCATGACTTGAACAATTAATCCCAGATTTGCAATTCTTGTGATTCAGATTGCGATTTGAAGTAAAAAATTGACTCACCTTGCAATCAGTATCGATGGCTCCAAGCATAATATCAAATTAAGATACAAATTGTATGATTCTTGTGATACTGGTAACTATGCTCGGATGTATTTTAAGGACTGAAGGGTTTGGTTGGATGCTACTATCAACCCTATTGGAAACTTGTGTTATGGTGGCATCTTTTAACCTTATTTTTTTTATTCCTGTTTATCGGTGCATTTATTGTATAGAAAGCTGGATATAAAATGTTTTTTTCCTTTTCTTTTTGTCCATTTTCTAGTGTTTGTTTCCACACATTGTATTCTAGGGTTTGGTACTTAACAATTCTTTTTCCAGAAAATGCTTTCTTATGTTTAGTGTTTTCCTCTACAGAAACTAATATCTAATCCATTTTTCTAGTGCAACTCATAAAGGGGTGAAATGCCTCCCTTTTTTTAATAAAACAAATTAATAATATTATGAGAGGATTTATCAGACTTTTAGAAAAATATTTTGAACTTAAATATCCTCTTGGATACTTACTTTAAATGTTTTCTGGAATCCCATTTTCCAGAATCAAGTTACTTTACATTCCTAGTTCTTTATTGTTTGCTGTCCATGTTGTGGAGGGGCTACTCTTACTGATATTTTATTGAGTGTTCCTAAATTCATCAATTCTGATATTTAGTACCTGTTTCCAGGTTGTCTAGCCAGAGCAGTCTTTCTAGGAGGAGAAACCATGCTTACTAAACATCATGAACCTCTGCAGGTAGAATACAGTTTTCATAAACACATTTATCTTTTATCTGGCAACTTCCTATAATATAGAAGAGTGTCATTAGTATATAGAGATTGATATCTTAACCTGACCAGTACCCATTTAGAATTCTGATGATATTGTTTTCCCTTTGTTCTCTTTCCCATACCACCCAAACAGCTGAGATTATGAAGCCTGCAGCCTGCCTACTGCCTAAACCAGAAGACCAGATGAACCAGGGTTTGACAAACTTATGGCCCACCCTGACGCTTCTACTTAGAGGACCCAACTTATGTGGAGACTATTGAAATTTGCCATGTCCATTTTACCTTATTTCCCAAGCTTGATAACTTGTGCTCCCAAGAACCTATATAGCTCTGGCTTGCCTTTATTTCTGTTTTTATTATTCTGGTTAATTTGTCTTTAGAACTGTAAAAAAAATCATGTAGTTTTGATAATCCAGCAGTTGTATACTATTTATTGTTTTTGGGTTTTACTTTCTCATAGTTCATGGTCACTTGCTGTATGAGCTTTTGTGTTTATTTAAGTTTCATGTTTATTCCTCCTAAGTTGACCTTATATACTTCAAAATTTGGTGGAGTTTTGGTGTCATCTGTATTGCAGGTGCCACTATTTGCCTATAATATATCATTGTGAGCTGGTAAAGCCGTGTTGCATTATTTGACTTTGAAAATTCATACTTATGGATATTGTTTTGAGTATCTTACACGACTACACCTCAGTCAAAGGTATGAAAGCTGTTCTTAGTTATGTTGTTAACTGAACTACTGATGCTCATAGTCAAATACTAACTTGTTTGAGGAAAGAAATGCATGGTCTGTGGTGATTCAGAAATAGAGGGTCTATTTGATGAATTTTATTTTGAGAATATGTTTTGAAAGCTTCAAGGTTCTCCAGAGGCAGTGACTGGTAATTTGATGTGAAAATAAACATTTATTAAAACAAGGTAAAGAAAACAAACTTATCCAAAATCCTAAAATTAGATAAAAAGATAGCATCCGAACAGATCTTTTGTTTTGGTTTCGTTTTTCAAAACAAAAAATCTGTTTTCAAAAACAGTAATGAAACTGTTCGTTTCTTTTCTTATTTGCCTCTATGACACATGCTTGGATATTTCAATTATTAATGCTGGGCATTTTTTATTTATTTATTTTTATCTCAATTAACATTCAGCTGCATTGAATTGTTTATTTTGTGTTTTTTTACTTTAAATTCTGATTGCTGGGTAGCAATTATATTGGAGTACCAACTCACAAAATGGTTGGCTTACAAAAGAAGAGATTAGCTCTCAGGCCATTGGGTCCCCTGCACCGGTCATTGATTTGAGTCTTTCAATATGCTGTCAGTGATCCAATGGCCCGTGCTAATGTGTGCCTAGTGTTTCTCCTATAATACTGTTCTCAAGTACTTGTCTGAAAACAATGGCCCAGGGATGCAGTGCCCCGAATTTCTTTTGGAGGTTTGGTGTCTTCCACTTTCCAGGTAGTTGGATCGATAAATCTAATGTTAACATTCTACTTTCAGTACTTTGGTGATGCCTGGAGATATTTTGGATGAATTGGAATTCGGTGGTTAATGTGGTAGGATTGTCTATAATAACGTTTATTGTTTTTACCGTTTTGTAATTTTAACCAAAAACACTTTGTTTTCTTCTGTGCAACTCGCTTGGTAGGCCTTATTAGGTAAGTTACTTTTTCGGATACTGTTGATGATTCCCTTCTGATTGGTGCAAAAACATCACGACTATATTTGCTTTATGATTTGGTTCACAGTATTATTATTTATTTGACTGGTATATTACTTCGATCAGCAAAAGTGTACCAAATAAATTATTTTGCTATATTCTGAACAGGACACGAGGGTTGTGATGGAACGTCTAGAGGGTAAATTAACTTGTTTTTCTTGGGTGAAATTTGGGCAGTTTGGTACATGAATAGAACAGCAGAACCAGTTTCATTCTCTCTGGTTCCTTCAAAAATAAAACCAAAATGAACTACTAATTACCTCCATTTTCTGTTTTATTCTTATTTTTAAAATGCAGCAAAACTTAAGAGTTCATGTTCCGTATCAACAATGTTCTAACTAAAAGTAACCGTGTATCCGCACAACTTGCACATGGAAATAATGAATTTGGCTGATTGAAGTGAGGCAACATTGTCTTGTAAGAGTGCGTTTAGTGTTGATTTAAAGTAGGTAAAGCTTTGAACGTAAAAAAGTTAAGCTTATAAAGTATAAATTCATATTTATTGTGGTATATTTACTTCGATTCATATACTGTTTTACTCTGAAGAGTCAAATTTGGGGTTCTCTTTGGTGTTTATGTATTCAAGCCATCATACAGTTTTCAAATGGCAAGAGAAGCAACGAGGTTGACTGTGTGTCAATGATGATGAATGTTTTTTGGCATCTTAAACTACGGAGACGAAATTTGTTAACAAGGGAAATGATGGAGACGAATTCACTTCAACATTTTTAAGCTGTAATAAATTGAATGTTTATGTAAATACAGTCCACGATTCTCGTTAGAGTAGAGGCAACTATGCTGGGTATTTTGTCACTGCTGCGTTCACCTTATATTTATCCATGTAAAATAAAAGTCAACTGATTTTTCTACGAAGTATAAAAGAAAGTAAATTCAAGTGATAAGTTACAAAATGGTAATATTTAATAATTGTTAAGGTAAACATAATTTTGCTATGTTATTAGGAAATTGAAATTTTCTAATAAACTCATAATTTTGCTAGCGATGTAGTTTTCTCGATCGTACAAACATTTTAGTTGAAACTCAAAATATTTCATTCAAAGGGAACTTGATAAATGGGATTATATCATTATATGGGTTCAAGAGAATATAAGTTGATTAAAATATAAACTTAAGGGGTTTGATTTTGGAAAATGTTGTGTTCTTAATTTTTGACGTTACTTCTAATTACAAAAATGTTATTTTTAAAAATTTATTCAAGAAACATTAGAAATAAAAAAAATGAAACAAAAAATATTTTTAAAACTAAGTGGTTCTTAAATTGCCCGATATTAATAGTTCGTTATATAATGATTCATGTTTTGTTTTCATTCCTTAATAAGAAAAATCAGGCATGGAGCATCACATATAACTTGATAATGATGAAGGATAATATCCTAGATGAGAAGGTAACCGAGGAAAGTTGTTACTAAAGCGATATCTAACTAACAGAAATTACTGGAGAGCTTTGTATCCAATCATATAGTAACACATAATAACCAAGTTTTGAAGTTTTAGGACAGAGATTCTATGCTTTTCCTAAGGTAAGATTCGCACATTTGCCAGAACATTTAAGCTGTATATCTTTATGGCCTAATGTAGTAAATTAGATCTACCTAACTCCATGCACAAATCACTTTTTTTCAACTTGATCAACAGTACAAGAAGTTGAAGTGAGGTGCTGTTCATTGAACAAAGCCTAGTTCTTCTCTTAAATGACACATAGAGTGGTGATATGTGGAGCTACTCAGAAATAGAGTGATGGGGTGGGGATGCATCTAGTAAAGTTCTCATATTTCTTGGTTTCTTCACCGATGCACAGTCACATCCAACAATAAGAATCCTCTAGAATACTCATTTTCCTTTAGATAAAGGACAACAATTGGACAGTTATAGAGCTGCCCCCTCTGAAGGAATTGCTAGGACTATTAATGCTTTGGGTTGGCATGCCATGTCAAGTGGCATAAGCATTTTTTCTTTATATATACTCATTAGACCCTTTATGTGCTTCAAAGTTGAAACCTTATTCGTCTGTTTCCTGCCAAGAAAAGCCCTTGAAATCCAATAAGCTTCTTCTTCTCTACCAGTTATCTCAGAACCCCTATTAGAATCCTTGTTTGTTTGTTTTGTTGTCATATAGAGGGGTCTTTTCTCCTCATTCTAATAGGGAATGTTGTCTTCCTCATTTGGGAAAGAAAAAAAAGCTCTATACTTCTGAAATTATGGCAGTGGTGGGCTCTATTTGATTGGTTACACTAATATGATTGTGTACCTTGTTTTCTGTAAGAATGATATGTTCCTAGGATTATTGAGCCTATTTCTGCTTATGGTAATTCAGACTTCATCTAATGTCTTGCATGTGGGAATGAGGTCATGTAGTGCAGCCAAGGATGACTTGCCGGCAGCATTGTGAAGACCTATAGTTCTTCATGTTGTTATGTTTGAATGTTCATTGTGTAGCCTTAGCACTCAAATGTAACAAACTAGTTGTCCGGCAAGTCGTCTCTGGCTACATAAAGGCCTCCTTCTCTCATGTTAGATCTTTTGATGATATAGCCATATGTATTGGACATGATCAATGGTGAGACTTATTGATGCACAGATGCTAGCTGAACGCAATGTAACATAACTTGGACAAATGTATATTTATACTGGTGCTGCTAGGAACTCATTTAAGGTTGGTTTTCACACCTCGTTTTTTTTTTCTTTTTCTAATAACTTGATGGATTTTGCAGATATCAACATTCAGTTGGTGTTGAATTTCCCTCAGCTTGTGCTTTGTTTATCAATGCCTCAAAAAGTAGTTACTAAAATTTTCTTCAAAAATTTTAAATCAGCTTGTTGTAGCATTTCCATCATATAGCGTTGCCTTTTTCATATTTATATTCTTTTTTTATTTGTACAGAAGATGACTGATTGGAACCATCTAAGTAATTTGGTCATGGATAGAGAGAAGACTTTGAGGCACCGGTAAAAAAAAAAGAATGACATAACTTTTAATTTAGTAAAAAGTTAGACTCTTTTAATTAATTAATAATAGCTTTTTAAATTTAATTTTTAATTGAATTTAATAGTATTGTATGATCTATGTAGTTGACTTCACTTATTGAAATAATAAAATTTGGTTGTTACTTCACAGATATATGTTTTCCTGATAAATATTGTATATCTATCTATATTATTTTCTTTTCTTTTGTTGAACTGACTTAAGTATTGATATTATGTATAACTTCATTTTTTGTCCCCATCACAATGTTTTGTTCTGTTAATTAATACAGCTAATAAATGTAAGAGCTTTCGTTCAATAGTAGGACTTCTCTTTAAACAAGTAACTTAACTTACAATATTACATATAAGCTCTTGGAGATTGAACTATTCTTTCGATGTTTTCAAAAGATTCTAATCCATTAGTTTCATTGTTTCTTGTGCTGGGATGCAATATCTTTAGGCCTTAATCTTGAATAACATTATCAAATTCAGAAAAGCAATACCAAATAACACTCACTATTGAGTATTCACTTCAGATTTGACAATAAATTAAAGAACACTAGGCAGCAAAATTGAACAGGTTTATGATTAATTATTATTCATTTACCAAATTACAGTTTAGCATCTGTTACACCAATATTAGAGTTGAGGGTTGTTATATATTAAACAGAGATAGAATTCCATCAGAATGGTTTTGGAAAAAAGGGGTTCTATGTTTAGAAAGTAGCATGCTTTAACGTCCATTCACTTTATGCAGTTATGACCCGACATAAATTTAATGTTAACTGTTTAGACATGGCTTTCCAGTATCGACAATCAATGCTCTCACATGGTGAAAGGTTTAAAACTATAATTTTTATTTGGGCTCGATTCCCATAAACTAATTTTCCCTTTCTTTTCATTTTTTCTCATAAAAGGAAAGTGTAAAAAGTAAAAGTGAAAGTTTTAATTTCCTCTCAAATTTCACTTTAATTTATCCTGCAAAAACTTTCCTCATATAATCTTGGGTTTTAAGTGTGCTAAATTAACAAGAAATAATAACAATAAAAAGAATTTACTTATGTACCTATAAAGGGATATAACCTTGTCATAGTCCTGCTAAGTAGAAAGAAAAAACACTTTTCTAAATTCTAAATTCTAATAGCTTTTATATGTTGACCAGATGAAGGATTCATAGATTCAAATAAAAGGCTATATAATTATCAATAAACATGCTTGATCAATACACAGAAATATATGGCACCCCATAAATTAAAACAATTTCTCCTTCAACCTTTCCTAAGATTTTATTTACAATCAAAATGTGGAGAAAAAGAAAAAATCTGAAAAGTTCCCAGAAAAGGCATATTCCACACACACAAATCCAACGTTGAGTTGAGGAATAGAAAGGGAAAAGGAAAAGAAGGAAAGATTAGAAAGATATGAGACCTTCTCCTACAAGCAAGCCTAACATGAGGACAAGAAGGCCAAGTGTGATGCATTGACTTGGTGATATGATGGTCTGAGAGTAAGCAAATAAGGTGAGGAAAGCACCAATTGATCCAATCAAAAGAGCCATCATGTTCTGCTTCATTTTCTTCTCTTTTAGTCACTGATATCTTCTCTTCCTCCTTGTTTTTTTGCTGTTGATCTTCACTCTTTGCCAAGTTTTGTTGGGTTCAGACTTCTGTTCTCTTAGCACAAATCTTGAAATATTATATATTAGTCTTCCTAGCAAGTCAACGCTTCAGCAGGATGGTGGTGGTTGATAAAATATAGACAATAGATTTTATCATTGATCCATTGGGAAATAAAATATACCCTAAACAAAATCAAAGTAAAAATGGGTTTTCTTAATTAGTGTAAAAGGTTACATAGTATATATATATATAAGTTAACAATATTAATGTATTTAATTTAATTAAATCCTCTAATTTTCAATATATATATATATCAATTCTATTAACATCATCTTTTTAGAACTATAGTTTAAAAATTTAATAATAAGTAAATTTCATGAAAAATGAAGTATTTATTAAATTTTTATATTTTTTACATAATAAATATCATAATTTTTAAAAGAATTTCATTAACTT